GATCTGTGGTGATAACTGTGAGATGCTCCACAATATATGGCAAAGGACTCATCTAAGTGACTTTGTGGTAAGTTTAATACTGTTTATAATGTTTCTAAACTCCTACAGAGATCTATGTTGCCTATGCCTACATTAGCAGATAGTGTGGTACAAGGGGAGTGTATCTGTAAACCAAAACAGTGCTGAGGACTCAACATCAAATCAGGGGTGCTCACACTGCCTAGGCTCCGCTGTAGTCTCATGGACGGTATATTCCCAGCAGAAGCTGGAGTGCATCTTTTCAGTATAGGTTCATCTGAAAGGAAGACAGTTTGCCAACTCTGAGGCATGAAAAAAAGGCATGCTAAGCAGACATTTATTCCATGAGTGCACTTGTGATCTGAATTAATATAGTAATGAACCTACTCAGAATAACAACGTGGATCTGAATCAGAATGCAGGCATGATTCCTCCAGACCTACCAGTGCAATCTTGCCATGAAGGTTGCCTAGTTGAATAAATGAGATCACACCAGCTGAAGTCACAGTGCATGCTCCAGCAGAAAGATGCCTCAGAATCACTACAGCTACTGTAACTCAAAAGTGTATGTTGTGGCTACTCTATTTTTGTGCCCCTCAGATCAGAAGAGACATGAATACCATACTGGCTTTTCGACTCCTGAGCATGGATTGAAAGCATATATACAATAAGCCTTCATTACCAGAGTAAAACATGTCTCTAACCTATGGCACTGCTTTTAGCTAGTACACTGAGCAGCTTTTAGGCCTCTGCTGATCCTAGGAGTACAAGTTGAGAAAAGCCAGGCAGCTGCTCGAAGTCATACCGGCTTCTGTGGCAATAGAAGACAGCTATGCGAAAAGAGACTACGCTAATACAGAGTATTACTAGATCCCAGTGCGTCCACATCTTAAGTAATACATACCAGTTTGGTCATCTCACCTCACGAAGACATGGGAAAACCAGGACAAACTCACCACAGTGTGAGAAAGGATTATCCAAGTTACAGAACAGTCTCTGTACAAACACTAGCTAGACTATGCCTCTTAACTCACCAGATACAGTTATTAATTTTCCAAGTTACGATGACTATAGTAGAGAGTTATAAAAAGCAAGAAAGACGTGGAAAAGCAAAGAGTAAATTGTGATTTATTATTTCTCATAACAAGTGGGCACCCAATGAAATTATCAGGCAGCAGATTTAAAACAAACAAAAGGAAGTACTCTTTCACAAAGCACATAATTAAATTGTGGAACTCATTGCCACAGGATGCTATGGAAGCCAAAACCATAAATGAGTTCAGAAAAGGTTTAGACAAACTCATGGAGGATATGTGCACAGACAGCTATCAGAAGCAAACATCCAGATACACTCTTGGGCTCTGAAAGTCTCTAACCTATTCACTTTCACAGGTGGAAAGGATACACAAGGGGAAGATACCCTCTGCTCTCATTTCTTGAGGTCCTTCCTTAAGCATCTGCTAAAGGTCCCTCTTAAAGGCAAGATATGGGGAAAACCTGACCTTCTAGGTCTGTCTTAAGATTTTATTTTGCGTAGAACTATCACTAGATAGTATTTGTATCAACATGCTGTGTGTAAAATAACATATATAAAAAAAAAGATGATTTTCATTTTGAGTCACTGACTCGATTCATAAGCTTCTATAAACCCCTGCTGGTTTTTTTTTTTTTACTTTGCCAATCTTGTACACCATTTTAAAGCCAAGAAAACACAAAAGGTAAGATTAGCAAGGGAAAAGAGAATTATGAGAGCGTGGCAAATGGTGGTCCAAGGAAAAATCCTCTGAAGCTGATGTCAGTGGGGAAAAAGCCTTAACAAAGACTTGAAATAGTGCCCCAAACTGTGGCAAATGTTTTGGAGAAAAATAAAGGTGTTATCAATGCCCTGAACAGCTTACCTTCTAACTCAGACCAGATTTAACATGTAAGAGTAACAGGGGCCAAAGCTCGAAGTTCTGTATTATTCTTCATTGGCAATTTATGAATGCAAACAATACTTCATTTTTTATTTTTATGTTCTGTACTTGCAAGATGACCTGGACAAAGCCATGTTATATAATGACCCAACATGAGATAACAAAGGAGAGGTCCGCATGTATCAACAAAGGACCTAAGACAGATACCATTTTAGTGGGAAGTGAGTGACTGTATCACACATGGGAATAAACCCAGAAAAAGGGTTCTAGTTGCAAAGGGTCACGTGTTTTAAGGAAGAAAATGATTAGGTTGGTCCAAGGAAAGACTGTGAACAAGTGAATGTGCGAGCTGCCAGCGGGAATACAGTTTTGGCACAAGCTTGTGAATGTACTGCCAGGCCTTTGAAAACCAATGTCTTACACAGACATTTACTGCACTGTTGCCCAATAAATACAAGTAATGGCATGCCTATTTTGAATTGCTGATGACACAGCCATGCTTCCCTCCTTCCAACAGCAATGTTTTTCTGTAAGAACGTGATGATGATCAATAATTTTGCAAATGAATTCCAGAGTAAGAGGCGGTATCTCTGGCATTAATGTGTTCTGCTATGGACATGCAGGGCAGAAACCAGGTATGCAGGGTGACCAGAGACAGACTTAAAAAAAAGCAACTAAATCTTTTTGCCAAAAAAAGCAGTTTAGGAATAGAATGAAAGAGCACATAAAGACACTACCTGCTCTTAACTCCAGTCAGTTAGAAGGTGCAGGGACTTACTTAATGAGAAGGAGGAATGTATCTGACACAAAGCCTTACTGGCAAGTTGATTCCCAAGCAAAAGCAGGACTGTAGGGAAGGACTGCAGATCTAAATGGATATATGATCATTTTTTAAAAGTGGGGAAAAAGTTTTCAAGGAGTGAGAAAAGCCAGTATATCATAAAGCTAATTTTTTCAGGCTTGCAAAGGCTAAAGGAACCAAACATCATCCTTGCAAAACAAATTACACATAAAGTAAAAATAACTTGAGATGTAACTTGAAAAAAGGAGTTAGAACTACTACAGTGACCTTGAGATGAGGCTCAAATACAAATACTACTCCAAAACAAAATGAATATTTTCCCTTTTCAATAAAAATGACATGGAGATTGTGCTCAAAAGACAAAATAAGAGCATGAAAGCACAAAATACAGCATATGAGATACAGAACTAGGACTTTATGAAATTGTATAGGGCACAGAAGAGGGATGAGCTGCAAAACCCCAAGTTTATAGATCATCTCCATCAGAAAAATACTGAAGAACTCCTGCATGAGGGTGCCAGTCTCACAGCAATGCTTTTAATACATCAAGGGAGAGTGTCACATGACTGAAACCTGGCAGAGCATGTAGAGTCACCATAATGAGAACAGGAAGGACGTACAACCCTGGCATCTACAGATCCAGAACAGTCTCAACAATGAAACAGGCAACATGACAAATTTTGGAGGTAGTGTTATAAGGTCTAGTCTATAAAAGGAAAATTAATGTGGATTTGCATAAAACAGTTGACACTAAATTAACCTCGTAACTTTCCTTGGTGTTTCTCTTGCCTAGAAAAAACATTTGTCAGTCTCACCTCTCTGGACTTTTACAACATATCTGGCGCAGCCAACACAAGAAATTAGTGTCAGTCTGGGGAAAACAGCATAGCATGAGACATGCAGGGTGGGAAAATAAAGAAAGTAAGTTGCATGGAAAGGGGAAACACTTGTCCAGAGGGAACTAACTAGCAAAGATGCTCAAAGATCACTTTGTTCAAATCTCTTCACTTGTGACATTGGCATTAACTGGAGAAACACCCACAGAAAACAGCCAACAATGTCGTGTCTTTCATCTAATGAAAGATATCACAAGAGACAGGGTGAGACTGGCACTCAAGAGCTGGATGGCCTTATACATGGGATAAAATTAAAATAAACTAAAAATAAACTAAAATAAAAAATAAATTAAAACAACAAATGAAGAATAACAAGCCAGCATAAAAGACTAAGGAAGCTCCAGAAAAGATGTGTGAACTTACTTCCAGGAAGAATGGAAAACATTATCAAACAAGGCACAAGAGAAAGTCCATCTGGAATAAAGTATACAGTTCTGGTTAAGTGAATTCAAGAAACATGAATCAAAGCTGGAATGGATGTATACAATAATTATTAGCAGGAACAAAGAAGGAAAACCTTTCTTCTGGGAGGAGATTAAACAGGCAGCTTGGGGAAAATACGGAAAAATAAAAGCCAAAAGGGAGTATGTGCTCAAAATTTAAATACATCCAAGCTATGTGAAATAACGGGTGATGCTGATCTAAGGAGACATAAATGGACAAATAACAAGTTCAAAACTGGGAATTAGGTATTTTCTAGCCATCTAAGGAACGATGTTCAGGACAAGTCCTGCAATATGAGGTGGGCTTTAAATCGCTCTCTGCCCCATTACCGCCGGCACCCCCTGGTCACGGGGATGACAGCTCCCCGACAACACACACACACACGCACACACACACCGCCCCCCCCGCTGTCCCCGTACCGGGGTGCAGACCGCAAGGCGGGGAAGCCGCAAAGCCGCGGTGCCCTCGGGGTACGGCTCAGGTGCCGGGAACCCCTCTCGCGCCAACTCACGTTCTTGGTCTCGTTGACCTCGTTCCTGCCCCTCCCCACGACCTCGCCGTGGTGAACCACGAGGCACCCGACGGGAACCTCCCCCTTCTCCAGCGCCTCTTTAGCCTGCGGGACACACACAGAGACACAAGCAACAGCGTCACCGTACCAAGCTCTAACGAGCAAGCCCCTGTCCTCCCGCCCCCTACGCGCTGCCGTAAGGGACCGCTCGGCCCGGCCGTACCGGGGCTCCCGCCAGGCCTCCTCCGACACCTCCCCCCGCACCCCTCACGGCCGCACTGACCACATCGAGGGCCTGGTCCATCCAGGCCAAAATCACCGCCTCGTCCTCCGCAGCCGCCATGCCGGCACCGGCTGGTCGCGGGCGGTGTTTCCGGGGGGCCGGGCGGCGAGGCACCTCGGGCGGGGCCGCTGTCACCGCCCCTTCCGTCGACGTGGGGAGGCGAGGGGCGGCCGGGCCGGGCACGAAGGATGCTCAGGTCCCTCTGGAGTTTCCTCAAGCGGCACAAGAAAAAATGTCTCGTCCTCGGCACCTTCCTTGGCGGTGAGTGCTCGGCAGCCGAGCCGAGGGGCGGCGGGGGCCATGGTAGGGGCCGGAGCGGAACCGGCCTTGGTGCCGCGGGGCCTCTCCGCTTGTGGCTGAGCCGCTCCCAGTTCCCGCTGGGGAGGCCGCCTCGGAGGCGGTGGTCGGCCGCCGAGCCCTTCTGTTAGGAAGCCGGTCTGCCCCGGGAGGGGTCTGGTGCCGGCCGTAGGCGTGACCGAACCGGCGGTGCAGCGGGTCCGACCGGCCTCGTCCCCGTGTGTCCGGCCCTGCGGGGTGTTGCGCAGGGAGCTCCGCCGCGGGGTGGAGCGGCCCTCGCCTCGCTGGTGACACCGAGCCGCCCACCGACCGGCTCTGGGGAAGCCCAGGGGCTGGAGGGGTTTTACTCACGGGCAGGGGCGAAAATCGGTAGGTCGAACCTTAAGCCCTAAACCACAGGGATTCGAGCCGGCTGCGTCTTTCTGCCGCGGGTGTTTGTGTTGGGTTGAAGCAGCGTTTGACTGCACAAAGCGTGGGTGCCGCTTGTGTTATTATTTCTAGGGTGGTGGCTAAAAGCCTGTACTTTCATAAAGTTGCTTGTGCATTGAGGTGAATTGTCAGGTGTAAACCAACCGCAGACACTAAACTTTACTGGAGAGGATTTACATTAATTATTCACGTTGTACTTTCTCCCTTATGACTCTTGTCTAATCTGTAGGGTGGTTGTAGTCTGGTAAGCTTCTCCTTTCCCTGGAGTTATTTTAGGGTTATTTTTAGTTGGAATTGGATTTAAAGGAACATCTCGGGTCTATCTCTGTGTTTAATAATAAGAGCATATCTGCAGCTGGATATCAGATACTCCCCAGAAGGTACAGCCATGTCTTTGCAAGCTCAATCATCAGGTGTACTTACATCTTATGCAAATGACACAGAATTAAACATTAGAGTTGCTAAGGAAAGTTTGCATTTGTTTATACCTGCTGCAGCTTGCCTGAGTAGTTAAATGTTCCGAGAGCTACAAGGGTTTCGCAGTATATTTTGTCTCTTATTCAGGTGAGGCCTCTGTGATGGTGTATATTTCTGACTTGCCTTGGTGGCGGTGTCCTCTGCATCCTTTCAGCATTAATTCCTTCTGCATTTCTCCAAAGAGGGCCAGTTAATGCACAATAACATGTTGGGTGATGATTGCTGAAACACTTGTCAGTCTGCTTCTCCAATTCATCCCCCATCACTTGCGGGTTTTCTGAGACTGCAGGTACATCAGAATTTAATGATTACCAGTTTTTAAGCCACCACACTTACAGCCCACCATTTAAGTAAACAGATTTACTTAATATACCAAGCTCTGACCTGCAGGCTGTTCCCCCATCCCTTCAGCTACGAGGAGGACAAATGGGAGTAGCAGAAACATCAGCTGTCCCAGTTTCACCTAGTAAACATGGATCAGTATCCAGGTGAGAAGACAGATTTAGGGGAGCTTGTGGCTCTTCATAGTCCTACACTCAAATCCTAAATTCATCGTGTATAAACAGCCTGCTGCCAGCCTGATACAACTGAATTTGCAGCTTTTACCTTATAATTGGAGGTATTTATGTACAGTTCAGTGTCACTGTCACTAAAATGCTACTGAGTGGATGAAGTACACTTAAAAGTAATCGGGAAATAAGATAAGTCATTTAAAATATGACCCATCCAAAGAAAAACCCCAAGATGCTCCCCACCTAACAAGCATTTCAGCTTCTGGCTGAAAATACTGAACTCTACTGCTGCTGCTTGCATCATGGATCAAGTATGTGTTTCCTTGAGCCATGTGGTATTTAAGGACTCGGTAGAGAATTGCTTTTTTGTAGTTGAGAGTCTGTAGTAAATCAGGGGAACACCATTAGCTGCCCCCAGCTGAGACTTGCACCATGGTATTTTAAGGCGCCCTGGGAGATGGAGGGATTTGTTGCAGAGCATTGCATTACAGTTGTTCAGCAGCTGAATCATGACTGCTTTGGCCATCTACGTATAAGTTATGGGCTGGACCTTAAAATAACTCCAGGAGCTATTGTAATGCCACCACCGATAAATCAGAACTCCTCCAAAAACCCTGCCTAACGTTGAAAGGTAAAATGCAACTGCACATTGTTGCTTTCATATGAAGGTAGAATAATTGGAAGTGTCTGAATGATTTAAGAAAAGCATCCTAATCTGTTGGTTTAATGCCAGAGACTGGAACCTACATCTCTCTGGTATTTGGTGGTTTGTTGTTTGGTTGGTTGTTTTTTGGTTTTGTTTTTTTTTAAGAGCTGTAGCTGCATTTTCTGGGAAGGAGGATGTAACAAGGAAAATGGGACATCAGAGTTTAATGATTTTAAGTCTTTAACTGGCACATGGTCAGAGATTAATGTGAATATTTAATGATGCATTGCTACAGAGGAGTCTCTACATTCTTACTGATACAGTGTTGTGCCACTGAAGAGTTGTTGTACCAAACTGAGTTGGTTGGTAGCCTTTCCTCTGTTTACTAAGATGGATTCCTTGTGCATTAGCAGTGGCTCTCAGTGTAATTTCTGTTAATCCCAGCACTGCAACAGGTTTTTCTGTTTATGCAAATACAAACCTCATAAAATAAGAGCTCAAATTGAGGGAAAATCAACTGAAATAGTTATAATTTTCCCTTAACCAAGGAGTGGAGTTGAGAAGAGTTCCACTTAGAAGAGACCCTGACAAGCCCTTTCTTCAGAAGTCTGTTCTTTTAGCAATATGAAGTAAATTGCATACTTTAAAGACTTAAATCTCTTCAAGCAAGCAAAATCTAGTGTTCTGGGATCAAACCCACTAGAAGTATTTGAAGCAGAGAGAGCGAGCTTGCATGACGTGTTATGTTCACTTGTTCTTGTTGGGTTCGTAAGTTTACTATAAAGTGGTTTCTGTCTCATGTTCAAGGTGGATTTCAGTGGACATTACAAAATTATTCACTATTGAAATTCTCTTGCTGCAGTAGAAGAGCAAGTTCAGGGTGTGTCTGCAGTGTATGGCTCTGATACCAGAGGTGTATTAATGATTGCTCAATGTTACCTCTTGCAACCTTTGGCTTGCATAAAGAATGTTTCAGTTCAGAAGTCTGACTGCTTAGCAGAAAAAGTTGTATTGGTTTGTGAGTGAGTGCAGGGATGTTACATAGGTTTTGGTGGGACTCAGTGGTGCCAAGAGATTAAGGCTGCAGTGCCTTCTTAATGGGACAGTTGTATGCCACTTGACGCACAGCTTGCTTCTTGTGCATAAGGAGAAAACACAATTTAGGGAGTTGTTGATGTTCTGTAAGGATGTAGGCTTCTGTGTGTCAGTGCAATTTCAGCATAATAAGGTTCTTAAAGCTGTTTTTTTCCCTTAATTTTGTGAGGGAAGTATGACAGTGAGGGTGAAGGTCACATGGGGTTGTAAAGAGCTTTCCTGGAAACTTGATGCCTCCTAGTTACCTGTCCCACCCTTCTGCTCATCTCTCCATTCCACCTGTGAAGAAAGACAAGGGTTGAGGAAAGCTTAAGCCATAAATTATGTGAGAAATACCGTACCTGTTTGAGGCCACTGGCATGAATGTGTAAGAGCTTGCAGGTTTTCTGAGCTACTTCCATTGCTTACATTTAGATCATAGAATCATAGAAGGGTTTGGGTTGGTAGGAACCTCAAAGATGCCCTTGTAAGAAGTCTGTCTGTGGTTTCTTGTAAGCCCCTTTAGGTATGGGAAGGCTGGTATAAGGCCTCCCCTGAGCCTTTTCTTCTCCAGGCTGAGCAAGCACAACTCCCTCAGCCTGTCTCCAGAGAAGTGCTCCAGCCATTGGAGCATCTTTGTGGCCTCCTCTGGACACATTCCAACACGTACATGTCCTTCTTATGATGGGAAGAGACTATACAATGCTACAGGCAAAGAGTCCTACTGAGACAAATTAGAACCTACTTAACTCAGTTCACTGTTAACAGGTGAGTCAGCGTGTCTTCCACAGAATATAGGTGTTGTAGACCCCAGGAGATCTTGGTGGTATAGGACAGTGCTGTGGATTAAGCCCAGCCAGTACTGAAGCACGAGACAGTTGCTCACTTGCACTCCCCCCAGTGGGATGGGGGGAGAGAATTGGGAGGGTAAAAGTGAGAAAACTCAGGGGTTGAGATAAAAACAGTTTAATAATTAAAAAATAAAATAAATCAGAAAAGGCCTTGATGAAAATATCCTTGTGTTATCCACACTGTTTCCAGCACAGATCCACAATGTAGCCCTGTACTAGGTACTATTTAGCCACAGCCAGCCAGTGCAAATGTAAATACTTTCACTCTGTAGATCAGTTTTAAAGCAGTATGAATTGTAGTTTGAGATCCTTACTGAGGTTCCTCTACCTGAGGCATCAGGTAGATGGCCTCAAGTGATATAATCCTAGTTCGTACCACTCATCTGTTTCTGAACCCTCTGAATCAGAAGTGCTGGTGCTATAGCTGTTTGCGTAGTTCACATTTTGATGAAGGCAGAAAAAAGTTTACATAGAAATTATCTTTGGGGAAGTTTCATTATTGCTGAATTTTCTTAATTCCTGGTTTTGTGTGGAACATATGCAAGGTACAGTATGAAGTTCCATCTAAACAATAGTTTACTTAAGTAGATAGGAATAAAATGCTGCTGCCACGTTTTGCAGACCTCCTATTCTATACTGAGAGGTAAAATTGGGTTATATTAGCTGTTGTAAAATGGTGGTGTCTGCTTTTCTTGTTTGTAACAACAGTCTTTCAAAGTGTCACATTAGGTTCTTATGGCTACATTATCTGACTTGACATTATGGCAGTTCTTGAAATGTGATTTTTCTCTGGTCCTACTTCCAAGTGGTGGTGTTTTCATGTGATACATTCAGCCTGGACTCATTAAAGTGTCTCTGTTATATTCAGGTCTTGTGAATAAATGCCACATGTATCTATATTGATACACATGGTTGCTCTAAAGTAAAATGTGAACACACATGCAGATCAACTTCTGAGCGGGCAGCTCCTTGAAATACCCATAAGACAGACTTGAAGAGTCTCTGCTGCTGCATTCAGGCAGGAGTGGTAGTGGGCAGAAGTTCATTATCCCAAGTGAGACTTGAATTTCCCAAGTGAGGTGCTGTATCCTCCAGGCAGCTCAGAGGCACGCACAACCCACTCAGTAGCAGAGATCTGCTCCTGACATCCAGTCACTGGTTTTGCTGAAGCAGTGTGGATGATGTAACTTTGACCTTGGTTAACTTCTAATGTATTGCATTCCCAAAGATGAGGATGATACTGAAATACATAACATCTATTAGTGATGGGCCAAAGTTATGGTTTGTTTCGGGGGGGAGAAATAATACTACTGGTGGCTGGTATTGCATCATTTTAGACAAGTGATTTTTCTGGATGACTATTACTTTGGACCCTCACAAGACACAGCAGGTTTTGGTACAGAGCAGTTGCACAGCATTAAGAATCAAGTATTAAGCAATTAGCTGTCTCAGTCTTAAAGCTGCTGCTCCAGCATATCACTCAAGGGCATGCACATGATTCTTCTTGAATTGTTTGCATGTCTGCCTACGTCCTGTGTATATTCATGGCCTTTCTGCCACAAAACTGGAGTTAAAGGAATTATTTACTGAGGGGTGGGGGGGAGGGGGGTGGTTTGGAGGAGGAATAAGCAAAAATAGTAATTTGGAGAAGTGACTATGTGTAAATGTAATGTGAAAAATGTGGTGGGATAAAATGATTGGGAAAATCTTGTGTTCAAAACGATTTGCTAGTACTAAAAATGTTGTTGGGGAAAAAAAATCAGCAACTTGGCAGTTGTTTTCTAAATAGATATTCTTGGCAGGAATTGATAATTTTTTAGGTAAAAGTGATCTAACTGTTACCTATTAAGTCTCATTCTGGTTAATAATTTAGTAATTGAATTTCATTTTTTGTATATGGAGCCCTGATAATAAAGTCTGTATCTAACGAGATGAGTCTTCCACATGGCAAATGGTTAGCCTGAAGGCGTTTACAGGACTTTTGGGAAATAAATGTAAGTGCCTGTGGTTGTTCCAGACTGATCTGGTTTGCAGTTGCCTATTAGGAAACATAATGGTGGTGTGAATAGCTGGAGGTTGGTTCTTTTTTTGCAATAAATATTGCACAAAATTGACAAGCCTTTTGAAATCTCGATGATAGTTTTGGAAAATATACTGAAAGGTTGTAATGACCTAACAATGTAAGTGAGTTAAAAATATTGGGGAGTTTGGTTTGGGGTTTTGTTGTTGTTACTGTTTTGGTGATTTGGGCTTTTAAAATCAGTTTTAAAACTTCCAGCATTCAGCAACTCTTCAATGCCTCACTTGGATATTAACTTTGAAATGCAAAAATTGAGCTTTGAAGAAAACTTTGTGCCTCTGTGTTTACAACTTTTGAAAGTGTTTGGTGGAAAAAAATACTTACTTTGATACCCAGATTTCTTTGGTGCCCCATTATTGACAGCGTCAGAGCTTTCGCTCTGTGCAGGAGTTTCACTCCTTAGGAGATTGCTCCCCAGTAGGCAGAAAAAGGACATGGACCTGTTAGAACAAGTCCAGAGGAGGGCCACGAGAATGATCAGGGGACTGGGGCACCTCCCATATGAAGATCGGCTGAGAAAGTTGGGGCTGTTCGGCCTGGAGAAGAGAAGGCTGCACAGAGACCTCATGGCAGCCTTCCAGTATCTGAAGGGGGCCTGTAAGGATGCTGGGGATGGACTCTTCATTAGGGACTGTAGTGGTAGGACAAGGGGTAATGGGTTAAAACTTAAACAGGGGAAGTTTAGATTGGATATAAGGAGGAAATTCTTTCCTGTTAGGGTGGTGAGGCACTGGAATAGGTTGCCCAGGGAGGTTGTGAATGCTCCATCCCTGGCAGTGTTCAAGGCCAGGTTGGACGAGGCCTTGGGTAATATGGTTTAGAGTGAGGTGTCCCTGCCCATGGCAGGGGGGTTGGAACTTGATGATCTTAAGGTCCTTTACAACCCTAACTATTCTATGATTCTATAAGATGGTCAATTTGTACAATAGCATTTTCTGCTTGGGTGTTCCTTCTAACTCCTCATCGACCCCCACCCACCAGAATTCTTTCATGAGAGAACAAGGAAAGAGCTTGTTTTGCACCTAAATAGGAAACTGCTGCTACCAGTGTCTACAGGAGGCAGCAAATGAAGTTGATATGCAGGAGGTGTCATAAGAAGCCCCAGGTGGAAGAGGAGAAATTAATGTAAAGCTGCTGGCCGTGGGCAAAAATACTGAGGGTAGGTCTAGAATATATAATGGTATCTAGAGCAATGGCTAAGCAAGCAGGACAGAGACGAGGAAAGGGCTGTGGGCAGCCTGGAGAGTTCTCGAACCTGTGGTGGTGTGGGAAGAGCAGTTGGAAACTTCAAAGGGAAGCATGTTGAGAGGAGGAAATACAGAGCAGAACCTTTTCATGGGTCTTTCTGGAAATGGAGATTCATAGTAAGGGTGGTGAGGGAGTAAGGGTAGGATAGTGGAGTTGGAGAGTAGGCACCAGGCATCGTAAGAAGTAAGAGGGACACTGAAACCAAGGTTCTTCCTACAGAAGATTCAAGGCCAAATGAAGAAAGTGTTGGTCTCTAGCATTTTTCTTTTGTGATTTTTTTTTTTTTTTAAGACTTGAGTTTTATCTCAACTTCTGCTAATTTTAGAAAGATATCTAAAAAGAAAAATGTAAAATTTTCACCCCTCTCCAGATCTCTAGCCATTACAGTTTATTTCTCTGTTCTCTGTTATCCTACACTTTTCCCAATATTTGCTTCAGTACTTGTTCATGTTGCAGGAGTACAAAGAGTGCCTACTTTGAAAGGCAAGATATTTCTTCTCAGCAGAGTTTCTTATACTGATTCAAGTCATTACCTTTGGCAATTAATTTTGAAAACATTATTTCTGAATATTACTGTGGCAATTGGTACTAAAATACTCGGAGACCACATATCCCCCAAAAAACGCTATGCACCCTTATTGTTTGAAATGAAACAAAGGGGCTGACGGGGCCTTCCTGACAGTTTTAAAGCAGTTTATTATATGAAAATCTCTCTGCAGGCGTCTATTTACTGGGAAAATATGGGCAGAAGAAAATCAGAGAAATCCAGGAGCGGGAGGCAGCTGAATACATTGCCCAAGCACGAAGGCAGTACCATTTTGAAAGTAATCAGAGGACGTGCAATATGACAGGTAAGATAAGGAAATAGCTGCTGTTCTTGATTTGGGGATTTGTAGTACATAATGACAGGATGGAAGAAGAATAAGAATTGTAGGTGAATTCAAAATCTCAAATACTAGTGCTGACCTGGGTTCAGCAGTAGCAGTCATTTTTCTCTCTCTTAGTAGCTAGAGCAGCACTGTGGTTTTGATTTTCAGCCTGGGAACAGCACTGATAACACTGATGTTTTTAGTTGCTGGTCAGAATGTTTACTCTGTCTAAGGACTTTGTGAGTCTCACACTCTGCCAGGGAGGAGGGAAGCCGGGAGGAAGCAGAGACAGGACACCTGACCCAAACTAGCCAAAGAGATATTCCATACCAGGTACATCATGCCCGCTATATAAACTGGGGGCAGTTACTCGGAAGGTAACTGCCCAGCACTGCTCATATTGGGCTGTGTATCGGTCAGCAGGTGGTGAATAGTTGTATTCTCTTCCCTTATTATTTCCCTTACCATTACTATTATTGGTGGTAGCAGCAGTGATTTGTGTTATACCTTAGTTACTGGGCTGTTCTTATCTCAACCCGTGGGAGTTACATTCTTTCGATTCTACTCCCCGTCCTTCTGGGAGCAGGGGGAGGAAGGAGCGGGGAGTGATTGAGCAGCTGCGTGGTTCTGAGTTACCAGCTGGGCTTAAACCGCAACAAGTGCATAGATAGAGCAGTTTTGCATAATGCAAACAACCTGAACAGAGGATTGAAGGGATTTGTAGGGGCCATACTGAACCCTAGGAGTCATCTATAATGCATACAGCTATACATGCAGGTTACAACTTTTCGTCAGTTCAGGACCTTTGTGTATTTCCCTAAAGTGTGTGTGCTATTGAGGTGTGACACAGCACCCAGATTCAAACAGTACTGAATTTACAGCAGGTTTATTTTATTCATTATAGCATGTTGTTAATAAGCTACACACAGAGAGCTTGGTGGGTATGTTTTGATTTACAAATAGGAAGCATGTCAGCCCATTAGTTCCCTACATTTTAACAGTTAAAAGTTATCTGACTAGCTGGGGAGCAAAAAGTGGCAGTATTTATATTACAACAATACATATGTTACAATATGACAGTATTTATATTACCTATTAGTGGTCTTCGGATTTTTTGCAGAGGAGATGGTGGAGCAGAGTTTAACAAAATCCTTGTCATTTTTTTAAGTATACGCCATTCAAAACTATTTCCATAATACAATCTGGGCAGCATTTTCTTTTCCTGTTGAAATTTGTAATGGCTTCTTGGGTGGCTGCAAATGCTTTCTGTGCACCTTGTTTACCCTGACCGATTGGTGTTTCAGGTTAATCTTTTCCATTTTTAATTTTACTGCAAGAGCTAAGTTTTTGTTTGCTCTTTTTTGTACGAAGTACCTTCTGTCTGGGACCATGCGTTCTTGTCAAGATTTTTCATACTTTGCTCTTAGTGTTTATTTTGTTCTGTGCATGCTTGTTTTTCATTTCCTATTCCCATCATTTAACAGCAGGTCGGACATTGAATATTCTGAAAGTAAGGATTTATTTTCTACCAGCTTTCTTCTGTTTAATACATACCTTTCTGTGCTTCTCTTGTTGGAAAAAACTCAAACCTCAGATCTTCTCATCTGGAGAAATGCGACAGTATAGATTTTCACCAGATTTTCTTGAGGGGTGTTGAAGGCTTGTATATGCAGGATGTGAACTCATATCTGAGCTAGAGCCAACAAAGACATATAGCAGCGTAAGGGCAGCATTGTGCCCCAGCTCATCAGAGGCACACAGGTAACTGCACTTCAGAGGATTCCCAGGGTTTCATATTTTGCTTGTCCTCCAAGCTTTGCCTGTTGAGCAATGGCGTTTACATTAGAGCGTCTATTGAATGAGAGCTGGGGATAGGTTTATGATGATTATTTTGATGTTGACAGTTTTGTTTTGTGTTGTTTGTTTTTTTGTTTTTTTTTAATAACAGTGCTGTCAATGCTTCCGACACTGAGGGATGCCTTAATGCATCAATTAAATTCTGAGAGTCTCACATCTCTTCTTAAAAATAGGTAAGACTGTTTTGTTAATTCTGTTAAAGATCACTTGTTTTGAGCACAAGATATTTTTGGGTTTTCTCAAGTTATTTATAATGTAGGGAGCTTGCAAGATTTTGGTTCTGTGTCCCATTGACTCACTGGTCTTGAAGTATTTTGAAATCACTGCATAAATATTTTGTCATATTGAATGTATTTTGATAGACACGGCTGGCATCTTCGAGACATGACAAGAAATAATGCTTACTTTAAGATGCTGCATTAAGAGCCACGGGTTTTGTTGAAGTGCTTATAAGATAGGCAGGTAAAAGTATGTAGCTCTCTCTTAAGCAGGCCAGAGTATCTTGACTAAGGTGTTGATGCTGTGTTTGTAAAAATGTTTATGTAATCTCATCAAGGTCAGACATGAGTAGTAATGGAAAGTATCCAGGGTGAAATTGCAAATGCATATAAGCTATGAGAAGTAATGTATTTTTTTCCTTTTTTTTGAAGTAGAACAAACAGGGACATGTCAGACATTAAGCAGAGTGCTTCCTGGTCAGAAAACACCTCTGGTTTCCTTGTGGCTGCAGAAATAAATAGCATATTTTTAAAATCATGAAGTGCATCATAGTATACCTTAAAAGTAGAGTAAGCCACTTGGCATTTGTCACAGAATAAAAGTGTTATGTAGGCAGTTAACATAAGGTTTCTGACTCAGTGTAGACTGCCTCTGGTTTGCTTCCCACTAGCTTGCTTACATAGCTGTAACTTCAGCTGTCCAGCATTTAATAGATTACCTATATAGGCATTGTCTTGTTTCAGTAAAAAAAACCTCACAACAAGGCAATAGAATGTGTTGATTAAAGTGGGAATTACAGCCAGAAAGATGCTTTTATAATAGATTATCTGAGAATTTGCAACTGTAATTGAATAGTATTTACTCCAAACAAAAGACCTTTTAGAGCCCTTGCTGTTGAATCCACAAAATAGTAGATGTGGAGATTTACCTTTCTCAATGTCCCTGAAGATTCCTCTTTCTAAAATTATCTATATTATGCCTTAGCATATTATGGATCTGTGTTACAGGTTGTGTTATGGCTTAGGTAAGCTAACTTAAAGTTTCTTTGCTTCCTTACATTTTAAAACATTTTATGTTGTTTCAGTAATCTGGGGCGGCTGATGATAGGGTAGGGGTGTAAGCAGGCTGAAGTCTTCAGTCTTCCAGGGAAACTCTGGAAGCAGGAGTGGCACACAAGGGCATAGATGTCCTGGCTCTGCCTGTCCTCCTCTTTTCAAAGCAGTGTGATTGAATGAGATGAGGTGAAGTATCTCCTGCTGAGGCCTTGCACCTAATTCAGCATATTCTAAACCTCTGGGTTTTTGTTTGCATTGCTTTTTGCTACCATAGCTGGTAATGGTTTTCCAAATTAACAATTGTGAAATTAAAGTTGAGTAGCTGAGTCTTAGTAAATTGCAGAATATGAATATTGGAAAAAGCTGTTCCCACTGGTAATACTTGCAGAGTCTTACCTGGATGATGCTTTAAGCTGTGAGGAGAAACCATGAGCATGAGCTCTAGAAGTTTTGACATGATAGGTGCAAATGTAGTTGGCTGATGCTGATGTACTGGCTTTTCTTTCTCTCTTCAGTTGGTGTGGAAAACTTGCCACTCGTAATAAATGTTTGAGTCCTGTTGAGTCCTGTTACGTGCTTTATTTATAGACATATTACTATATTTTTTAACAGTCTTTGTTTTGCTTTAGAATAGCTTTTAAAACTGTTGATTTAGCTTGCAAAAAGAGAAGTGTGAACTGTTTTTGTATGTGCCATGGATCCATGTATCTCTTCCAGCTATCTTTCCATTAATCTGTCTCTCTGCTTTTTGAAGTTGCAGACTTAATAGTTCATCATATCAGTTCAATTGCATTACTTGATAGCAGTGAGCTTAAAATGTCACTGTTTATGTAAGTGATACAATGGTCAAACTATTGCCAAAGAGCACAAGTTGTGCCTTTAAAGAAACTATTCCTCGTGAGAAGGATATTATTTTTTTATAAACTAGGTTACTATAAAGTGTGGGTTTCTGAACTACCTGCCCTAAATGTTTAAGTGTTAATTCTGATCCTAAGACATTACCAAATGTTTCTCTGACTTTCACAATGTTTCTTCCATGGCAAATGTAGAGTAGCTGTTCTTTTCTGACAGTGCTTAACAGGCAAGAATGTCTGATGAAGCCTTTTGCATGGTTAGTCTTATCTCTGCTAGTGCAGCTATATTGCTAACCTTACCTCTGGATTGTAGTTCTAGATCTGCAGTGTACCTTAGGCAGTTCAGGTGTATCTGTGCAATCTACAGTCCTGCTCTTTTGACTGCAGAATGTATAAAATTGTCAGAATCGGTCAGATAAAAGAAGTAAACCTGCCTCAACATGAGAAGATCAACTTGTGCTTGTGTGGATGGCACAAGACTTCTTTTCCACAGATGATCATGATCACTTTGGTTTGATCAAATCTGAACTTTAAAACTGCATCAGGCAATGATAAATCTTGCAAGAAGGTAGGAAATAGAAATTCTGACCGTGCACTTGTGCACAGGTAGATACAGGAAGCCCTGCTGAACTGAGGTCTAAACGTACAGGGGGATGAAAGCCTCAGAAAGGACCACTGTGTACTGTCAGTGGGCTTTTTGTGACCACTTAGCATAGTTTAACTCAAAATTGATAATGTAAGTGTATAAATGACTTGACTAAATACTACATTTATTGATTAAAATTTGTATCTCTTTCCTGTGACTTCATATTGTATGGTTTATATACTGCTTTCTTGAATGAGGCAAATCAGTGTAGACATGAATCTGATCTGAATAACTGCGGTAGCTAAATGAGCTTGCCTTAAAGCACTGCTATTTCATTTAACATACTTATTTATTTTCCAGGAAAATATACTTTTAAATGTTTAATATTCCCATTTATTTTTCCTACAGGCCAGCAAACAAGTTAGAAATATGGGAGGATTTAAAGATAATAAGTAAGTGGAAATGAAAGATTCTATGTTCATAATATTTAGCATAAATTTACAATGTCTTTCACACCCTTTAAAAAGCAGACTTTACACTGGGTTGTTGTTTCAATAGATACGAAGATAGTGTAACATACTACCTGGCAAACCTTCCCCCTCCAAAAAAAAAACAACCTCCTCATGAAGGAATTTTCCATAGTCCTGAGGGGACTTAGAAGCCCAGAGATGAAGGTGAAGAGTTTTATTGGCCTTCGTGTTACCTTAATCAAGGCAACTTTGTGAGATCTTTCTGTGCCATCACAGAAAAATCAACCTGGCTTTTCAGAAAGTTCTCTGTTGAACCTAACAGAAAGCATTGATCAGAATGTTGGCCAGCCTTTACATGGCCAGCAGCTTCCTTTTCAGGCCTGTTGAAGAGAACCACCATCACAATGGTTATGGACACCTTAGTTCATCTTGGAAGGGAAGAAGAAATAGCAGTGGAAGGGAATGAAAAATAGCGAGGTCATATAATTTTGCAGTGAAATACTACTGACCTTTTTTTACTGGTTTTGATTCCTTGGTACCATTTGTTATCCCTGCCACCGCCCTGGTTTTGTCTGCTTTGTTTTGTTTCCCCTTTTCACACCACTTTTACAGATCCTACTTTTAATCCGTCTCCTGTCTTTCTGTGCTCTTCAGCACTCATCCATATTTATTCATGTCACTTTTTCCACACGTCATCTGTTGCCTAGTGTGTGGTAGCTGATGTTCATTTTAATTTTCTCTCTATAGATACTAGCTGCTCCTGCCTTAGGTAGCTTTCTTCCCAAGCTGCTGTTATTCCTTCTGTGTCTCAGTTCTATGATGAGGGCTAACATATGGCGTGTACTTACTGGCCTAATGAAGAAAGATGATTTCACAGCATATCCATTTTCCTTCTGGAGCACCTTGAAATGTGAAAAATGATGTTAATACAGGACTTTAAATGGGACACTTTAGATGTAGCTCCAGCAAGTGTTAAACTCATGGTCATCTTGGGTGTGTGTTGTAAAAAGATGTGTTGTGACAATCAGTGAGTGAAATGTGATGTGACTGTACTTAAAAGTCACCAGCACTACTTGAGACTCGGAGAGTGTTCTCCCTCCTTGGCTTACCGTTCATTCTTTGACTCAAGTTGTTTTGTTGGCTCTTTTCCAGGTTTCACAAGAAGCATTGTAGCTGTATATAGTACCTGTATGCTTGTAGTTCTTTTGAGAGTCCAGTTAAATATTATTGGCGGTTACATCTACCTAGATAATGCTGCACTCTGCAAAAATGGCACAGTAAGTTTCTTGTTTTGTTTCAAAAGTAGAACATCTACTTTCTTAGAAGTGAAAGATTAAAAAGAGCGTAGCTCAGGAGTATTAGAATGAAACCAAGAGTTCTTGTAGGAGTGGGAGATGTGGAAGTATTACTGAAAGTAAGCTATACTGATTTTAATCGCCTCTAGATTTGGATGATTTGGTGATACTACTGCTTAACAAAATGCTAGCAATATTGAAGAGTACTTTTGTCTGCATTTGTATTGCTTAAAAAAAGAAGGTCAGTTCGTACCTAAACACCAATATAAAATAACTTCTTTGCTTTATTTTTGTGTGAAACAGTCATAGTGTGTGAATGATCCATGTGCATGTATGTAAGTATATATGCATGGATCACTCATGCTAATGTATCCAAGTGCTTAGGTCTTCCTAGCACATACATTAATTCCCCAAGTCAGATCTTCCTGTAGAAGAAAAAGGTTGTCTTTGACATTTTGGCATTTTGTTTGTAACTCCCAAAGGCCATCTATGTCTGTTTTGTAACTCCCAAAGGCCATCCCAACGTCTGTTGGTGGGGCCAAGCAAGGTAGAAGACTTGGGCTTTGTTTATGTTCTGTAACTCTCACTGCTCAATAAAAGTAGGTGAATCCCACAGTAAGCAAATACCCCTTATAGAGAGTAAGATCTTCAAATCGTTGGACAGCCTGTCTAAAAATAGTGGATACAAACTTTGATTAATTTGCATCTGCCCTCCTATGATAGCTCCTTCTGAGAGTCAAAGAACAGCATGGCAAGGCAGGTCTGAGAAAAGCTTTCGTCAGGGTTGATGGAGGTTGTGCTTCCCTTGGCAAGGCAGGTCTGAGAAAAGCTTTCGTCAGGGTTGATGGAGGTTGTGCTTCCCTTTGCAAAACCTGAAAATGCCCTTGCTGAAAGGGCAAGATGAGTTTGGACTAGAAACATGTTTTCTTTCAGTTATTTTTCCAATAGATAAATGGGTTGATGTGGCCAACCCTTGAGGCATTCCTCTGGAGCAAACTGGCATCATCCTGTCTCAGTTCCGGAAAACTTACATCAGAAAAGCCTTTGTTAGGGCTAGACATAAATATCCAGTTCCGCTAGGTTTAATTTTTGGCGTGATTAAGGGTCTAATTTCACCTGTAATGCAGTTTTTAAAGAGACTCTCCTATGTATGAACTAAAAGTGAAAGATTTTTCTGTGCCACTGAAGATGGAAGATCCATATAGTACTGAAGAGATTGCCAAAGGACTTAAAAGATTCATGGGTTGATGGCAGGAAGAGAGGCAGATGCTAGAGAGTTGCTTGAGAATGGGGGAATCCACCTGCTGCAAGGGACTGTAAAGAGGGAGGAATTTGGTTATAACCAGTTTGAAGTTATTTTTGCATTGCTTTCTTCTGTTGACATGTCACAGACTTGTTTTTTTCCCCTCCACAGACACCGCTGGCTCCCCCTGAAGTTCAGCAGCAATATTTATCAAGTATTCAGCACCTTTTAGGAGATGGTATGGTGCTTATTATAAGCTAGCTACACTTAAAAAATTCCACTGCTTTTCTGGACTTGAGCAGATCATTAGAATAATTCTGACACTGTCCTCCTTTTAGGACTGACTGAGTTGATAACTATTGTTAAGCAAGCTGTGCACAAAGTTTTTGGAAGGTAAGAGTTTGTATTTCTCTCTGGTTAGCTTGTAAGTTTTATTGTGAATGACTGTTACCAAAACAACAAGTTTTATTAGAATTTTAAAACAAGGAAGGTTTATTGACTGTTTCCAAAACAATGTTTTTATTACAGCAGGCTACATCTGCTGGGGCAAACCAATATAGCAGACTGGGATCCTGTTAATTGTGAGCACGTTGTCAGGAGGAGGAAAAGCATCATTATTAATTTTGCAGTTAAAGTCATCTTCTTCCTTTCCAGTGTTTCTCTTAAGCACACCCTATCTCTTTTGGAGCTGGAACAGAAACTTAAAGATATCAGGAATATAGTAGAACATAAAGATTCAGATCAGACTGCACCTTACTCTCCCTTATGTCATTATCTGATGCCAGATGAAGAAAACCCCTTGGCTACACAGGTACCTGTTTCAGTTTCTTTCAGCTACGTTTTTTTCCGTCTGCATTGCTTGTTTGTTCTGAGGAGGAAGGGTGCATAATGGCCCTCCAGTTGTACCACAGCACCTGTATCTTCAATAACTGGCATGCGATGCTTCTTCCTGCATAAATCAAGTGTCATTATCTCTTTAAGTGAGGCAAAGTTGTACTTTTCTCAGATGTGATTGAAAACAAGTGTCAACGTTGCAATGTCATCTTTGAGCTCAGAAACTCAGCCCAGTTACTTCATTTAGCCTGGGATGTGCTCTGTAACACAGTGCAGCTTAACTCAGCCCTAAGCTAAATTGCTTTAGCTGGCACTTACATACCAGCAAAGATGAGGGACAGCTGTAGCATCTTGGCCAGTGTACAGGGAGGTGATGGTGTGCTGGAATACTTTAGTGCTTTGGGCTGGAAAATGAGCAGGAGTCAAGAGAAAGGTGTATCTAATTGCAGTGGTAAGGTTAAAGTGATTTGCTAATTTTTCTGAAGGTGTTTGTCTCTATCCACACCACAAGTTGGAAAAACTCATTCTTAACATGGTATTACGCTAATACAAAGAAGAAACTTAGGCTTCTTGTGAATACATGCACTTATCATAGAATCATAGTTAGGATTGGAAAGGACCTTAAGATCATTTAGTTCCAACCCCCCTGCCATGGGCAGGGACATCTCACACTAGACCATGTCACCCAAGGTTCTGTCCAACCTGGCCTTGAACACTGCCAGGGATGGAGCATTCACAACTTCCTTGGGCAACCTATTCCAGTGCCTCACCATGCTTTAACTTTTGATACCTTTAACTGAAGCTGATATGCAGGGTTTATTTCAGTTTTGGAGGTCAGAAGTAGAAAAAATACTTTGCTCAATTAGTCTGGTATTTCCTGCTAATACTATTTTTAAGGTGAAAAACCCTGCAGTGACCACGTAAAATGAAAATCAGAACATAAATCATAAACTGATTCATGACAGTAAATCTTTTCAATAGATTTGACTTGCACATCTTGACTTAATTCCCCAGTACAAAACTCTTCTGCTTCTACTCTTATTCTTACAGTTACCAATGGATGTCTTACTAAACAGTGTCTGTCTTTGCTTTTTTTAGGCCTGTGGACTCACAGAAAGAGACATTGCTACAATTAAATTGCTTAATGAAACTAGAGATATGCTAGAAAGGTATAGAGCAATATCCTGTATTCATATTAAACTCCTCCTCGCTATTGTTTATGTAAGATTACTTTCATATGAGAACCTGTCAACTCTCACTTGTGAAATGTGACCACTTTGCTGCATTGTTTTTGTATTCACTAATTGTAGGCTGGGATTTTCCAAATTTATTAGAAATAATCCCGCCTTAACGGGATGACCAGGATGTTCTCCCCCCTTACCTCTTCCTTGCCTTTCCTGTAGTCATGCAGGAACAGAGCAGTACTTCTCTTCTACTAAAGCAGCGTGAATTGAGGGTCATTTTATTGGATTTACTGCTTTGATAAAATTAACATCAGTTCGGGCTTAACAGAATTTGTTTGATGCATGGCTCTAAGTGAGTGTGTGCATCCTTTCACTGGAGTGCTGCTGAAGTGAGGCTTGTGTAAGGAACATGGAATAGGAGGGAATTGAGTCAAATGCCAAACTTACAATTTAGCTGCTAGAGGTCTGGGGCATGTAAGGATGCGGTAAGTCCTTCTTATGCTGTCACTCAGTAAGAGAGAGAAATGCTTTAGATTTATCTAGGGCTTAACAATCTTACGGTGGAGCTTTGGTTGTTGATTGGTCTGCTGGGGAGCTGGTCTGTCTTGAGGTGGCTGTGCTGGTGGCCTTCTGTCTGGGTCGTGCATCTTCCCATGTGGGAGGGACAGGGATGTCTGTAGCACTGAACACTACCAGGGTTTTTAGTTAAAAAAAAAAAAATCCCAGGAATCAGACTTTTTATTTTTTATTATTTTCTTTCCAGTCCAGACTTCAGTACAGTTTTGAGCACGTGTTTAAACAGAGGATTCAGTCGATTGATGGACAATATGGCAGAGTTTTTTAGACCTACTGAACAGGACCTCTCTCAGAGCAGCTCTGTAAATAGGTAAGTGTTTTCTTTTGGTGTGGTTCACTTGCTTTGGGTTCACGGTGAGTTCCAAAAAAGGCTCAGTGATTTTCCTGCCTACTTGAAGTTCCCATGTTAGAAACAATTCTGATTCTATGCTCATCAAGAATAAATGCAGTCTCCTCACTTTGGTCAAGTAGACAGCTAGGGGTATTTCTTCCTAGAATTTATGTAAGGTGTCTTTCCCACCATTACCTGCAGATCTAAAAGTAGGAAACAGAAGATCTCTACCTTTCCCTTTTCTCCTGAGCACTGTGCAGGCAAACTGCCTTTGTAGCTAAGGAGGATTTACCTCACTGATGGTGACTGCTCAAAGCTGTACTGCAGTACCTCTCCTCTGAGGCACTGAGGAAGGTGATGTTCCCCTGCCTGGAGCAGAGAAGCTCTATGCCCCAGTCTCTGGCTGCTAGTTCTGCAGTTCTCAAGGACAGTGCTATTACCATGACTCTCCAAATACTTGTAGCCTAATGCATCTGTGGAGCTTTAGGTTATTCACTGGTGTGCTGGAAGAAAGATGTTAACATTCAGGATCTTGTGCCTCCTTACTAGAAGACTGCTTAAAAAGAGCTTTTATTCTGAATATAAGTTACAGTGCAGTAAGTGTTCAGAATCCAAAAGCGGAGTTCAAATCATTGAAATTTGGTTTCTAAAATGTTAGAACCTTGAATAATAATTAGTTTTATGTTTATTGTAATAACTGATGGCTCTCAGAGTAATGGTTTTATTTTAACATCTACTATTTACATCACTTAAAGTATTCCAAAGGCTTTAGTTGTCTATCCTAAGCCTGGTTTAGAGCTTGAAACAGCATGAGATTGTAGATCAGCACATCTGTTTACATACATAAACATGTAAAGACTCTGGCTAACCCATGCTTCTGTTGCATGAGAAGCATGTGTGAAACTATGTGTAACAGGAACACCAACTGAAATTCGTTCTGGTATTTCTCTGTATTAAATGAATGGCTTAATAAGAGAAGGAAACCTTCATCTGTACGGTTTACTTTGCAGCTTTTCAGCTGTTACTTTTGAAGTAGTAATTAGGATTATAATGATCCTATTTTAGTGGCTTTACTAACGTCAGAGCAGATCTAGGTCAATATTTTTGTTCTTGTCTAGTCTTTCCAGTGTCAGTCTTCCTTTAGCCAAGATAATTCCAATAATCAATGGACAGATCCATTCAGTATGCAGTGAAACACCCAGTCACTTTGTTCAGGTAAGAACCTTATTTAAAATCTCAAGTAAAAGTCAGGAACTGAACACTGTGTATTTCTTTTTCACAGCATGCTTCATATTGTTTCAGTGGCTTTAAAATAAAGTAGAAACAATTGGCGTAACCTTTTGCAAATTTGTATCTTCCAAAAATACGGTATTTTTCTGGAACCTCTTCCCTCTGCTAACCTGTGCAGGAGCACAAAAAGGTCTCTTGCTTCTGCTTGTAGTTTTGCTCATAAACCTTGCTGAAGTAAGAAATTTGAGTTAGGCCTATGTGGGAGTGCCAGGTGCTTTTCTCATAATGGATTATGTACTGCAGCAAAACCAGAATAGTGCTGGATGTGTTTAAGAAGATTTATTCTTTAACTTTCTTCCAGGACCTGTTGATGATGGAACAAGTGAAAGATTTTGCTGCTAATGTTTATGAAGCTTTTAGTACCCCACAGCAGCTAGAGAAATGAACTGCACATTCATAGGGAGAGATTGTATGTATATATAATAAATCCCTTGTGACTACTGATGAGACTCGGGTTAATTTTGTAACAGTGTAGGAGTGGCAGACCAGGAGAAAGAACATGCTGAAAAAAGTGGGAGTAAGCCCCTGTTTGCTCTAATAGTGTCAGTTTCAATCACCCATTAAAAATACTCTTGTTGAAGGAATTGTTACATGTAAAGACTTTTCTATTTTTGAAGTGCTCAAACTCTTCCATAATTGATTATTGCCTCTGAAGGGCATCAGGTGGCAGTGTTACAAGTCACTTTTTAACGACCCCATTTTGTTGTGTGAGGTGCCTATGTCCTGGAGAAAACTAATGATAATGACCTGTGAGTAGCACAGAGTAGCAAAATGAAGTCAGTCTGCTTTCTTCTTCTCCCACATATTTATTTTCATAAAGGAAAACTTTCTTTGCTTAACTTTACAAACATTATTCCAAAGAGTCATTCTGCAGAAAGCCTTTGCCAACTGATGCATATTCTTCTTGAACAAGCTTGGGGGGCGGGGGTGGTGGTGGCAAGGAGCAAACTGCTCTCGCTGTTACTTAATACTAAAGGAATGTGGATTTCTAGAAGTCCTCTTGTTTATGCTGTTTAAACAGCTACACTGTACACATTAACTTGTAAATATTTTATCTTAATTTGTATTATTAATTTTGAGCCTAATTGTCTGTATTGTAATAAAATATTTTAATGTAAAATTTGTGTGTGTATTCACATTACCAGGAGGAAGGGCAATAGCCTCCACTGGCCCTTCACTTAAAATCCTGTAAAAATGAGCATAAATTATACAGTAATCATTTTGCACTTATTAACATTACTCAGGAAAAATAAACCTTGACTATCTATACTGAAACAATTCATGCTTTTTGTTGTCCTGTACCTCCCCCTCTTTGCAAACTGCATGCTGCAGCTCTGTCCCTGCAAATCCTGACCCACGATGAGCTTGGGATTTTGTAAGTCAGATGCTATTTACCCTCTGCTTAAAATGATGTCTCTGGACAACACTGAGGCTCCCTGGCAACTCCTGATTATTTCTCATGTATAAAAAAGCTTGTCATTGGAGTACATGTTTTGGCTTATTGTCCACAGGAGCCACTCTGGTAACTGGTTAAAAACAATTAGTGTAAACAGTCAGCTTTAACCATGTAATATTGTATAAAACAGCCAAACCCCCTCCTGCTTTGCTTGTATCTCAGTAATGGATAGAATTACTTCAGAGTAATGCAGATGCACCACCCTGCACCACTGCAACTACCACTGGTTGTACACAACTGGAAAAAGTTTATTCTTTTCTCTAAAACAGTGTTTACTGTATGGTTTTGTGGAAGTTAAGACTTCTTGCACTGAAAAAGGTAGATGACTGAGCAACTGAGATTTGAATGTTAGCTTGAACTAGCTTTGCTCTTTCTCATGGCTTTAAAAAGCCAGTGCCTGGTTTCCCTTATTTCCTTCCCCCTTTCCCATAACTTGGCAAGAAATCAAGTGGAGAGGTCAAGGTCAATCCTTGGTTTTCACACAAGTTCAAAGAAACAAATTGTAGGTAGAGCTTCAACCTAGCTCTAGATTTCAAGAGGTTCATTCCATCCTTTAACAACAGGCCACTTTTCATGAAGAAGTGAAATCATTGGACTGTTGCAGTCAATCAAGAGAAACCAATTACGAGAAAATGAGCAAAACATCATTCCCTGCTGCCCAAAACTCCAGCAGCATATAGCTCAGCTTATGGCAGTCAGCTGTAACGTCCAGCCCCACTGACATGGCAATTGCTTGGGAGTTAACTGAGGTAGAGCTACAATGATTCCTTTTTCTCCCAGGGCAATCCATTTCAGCAGTTCCTCATAGCCAACCAGCTTCACCTGAGACAGAAATATACACTGTGATTAGAACAGTGCCTTCTCAATGCATGTGATTCTCAAATCATTGCAGTATTGACAAATGTTGGTTGTCCTGGGTTCAGCAGTAGCAGGCATTTTTCTCCTTAGTAGCTGGTGCAGTGCTGCTCCATAGCTACCTTACTAGCCACTATCCTTAAGTGCCACTTACCAACCAAATGAATGATAATTATTAAAGGTAACTGAAAATTAGTTGCAAAGTAATTACAATCAATAATTTACTACAAGCAATAAAGGTATTGCTGGTGGGTCTCGAGACATACTTGGGGCTGTAAAGAAGGTACATAAACACTTTTCAGAAGTCTGGGATGGGATTTTGGTCTAAGCGGGGATCTAGGTGCCACAGTACACACCTTTCGATCACCTATTTTCCATAGTGGAACTTGTAGTCTTGAATGAGCACCAGTTCCTTACAGAGTGCAGCCAAGTGTCACAAACAAAGCAGACCTGGAGAACCCCTCTACAGCAACCACACAAACAGGGTGAGACACACCAGCTGCTGACATGCTGAAAACAGTGGAGTAGCTGAAGACCAGTCTATTGCTGAGGAACATCCTTACCCTCCTGTGCACATACACTCTTGATGCCTATTCAAGATTCATCTACAACACTTCTGAAATTACTCTGTCTTCCCTGGCACAGAGTTGTCTTGGCTTAACTAGAGGCAGTCCAGAAACACCTGTAATGCATTAATTTCAGCAGCTAGTGGACATCCAATGCATGAAAACAGAGCTAAGCCAAAGATAATCCATACCTTAGATGCACAGTGTTGATAGTAAGCCCTGAGCACCGTTTTGCTCTATAAATTTGCTTCCACTGGGTTACACTGCTGATAATGTAGATGTGGCATCATGTCCTCAACTTCTGACCACTGCTTGCTGTAAGACACACATCTAGGGTTGCGCTGCTCTACTGTTTAGCCTCCCTGGGCATTGAAAATCTTTGTGCACTTTCCTTTTGTGCAAGGCTTTGACTTGCACGATTACAGCACTTAGTGTCTCACCAAAATCAAGAGGATGACTATTTATAAAGAAAGGTCATGCTGAGATAGAGGCTACAGGAAACAGAAGGGGCAGCACACTTGTTTTCCCCTAGTACTTGGCTCCTTAGAAAGGTAAAACATACCTCACCAACAATTCAGTTTGTTGGAAGAAAAAACATCCCACTGGGAGGACTATGACAAAGAGGTCCCAGAATGAAAACAAACATTTGCTGCGTCCCTTCCAATGTACACTGTCCTGAGCTATGCATTTCCAAAGAGGCCAGAAACTAAAAGAAACACGATGGAACACAACAAATCCTAGAGGTGTTTTCCTTCACAGCATGTTCATTTCTTGCAGTGTTAAAAGCCTTGCTGTTCTAAAGGGGAAGAGTGAGGTGTGTTGTCTTTTACCTGTGTTTCTCCGAGCTTGGCTTGTGGCTCACCAAGTACCAGACTCCCAGAGACCGGCCAGTCAAGGAAAATGGCATTGACTTTCCCCTCTTTAGGGCTGAAAGTGTACCTGGTTGGAAATGGGGAATAGAAGTGCACGTCAGTTTTGCCTTGTAAATTTTCTGAAGTGATGCATAGAGTGCTTTCAGGAATGGAAAAATGGATTTGAAGATTTAGTGTTAATTACATTTTTACACATACACACCCACACACACACACACCCCTACCTGTCTTTTCAGGCAATTTATAGCCTTTGATAGAGTACTGATCCTTGAAAGCATGTTCCAACAAACTAGACGTAATAGAGACTATTAAATGAGTTAAGAGGTAAACGTCTGTAACTGAAGCACATAATATCTCACTGCTGCTCGGCCATAGAGGAGGGAGGTACTCCCTCTTTCCTTCCTTTAGTTAACAATGTTTTATTGCTCTTGGAGGCTAAAGCCAGATATCCAAATCTTACTAGTAACTGCAGTAAAAAGATCCACTGAAGTGGAGAAGAGAGTCAGACCAAAACCCTGATGGATTGTTAAGGTATTACATGCAGCAGTTGTGAGGCACAAAGGCAGAGGAGAGTCCAGACACTGGCTGAATTTAGTGACCAAACAACTGCAGTTCTCTTTCCATGCATTTTTACCTTAAAAAGTAATGCAGGATATGCTAGACTGGTTTCTAGTTTCTTTCTCTCTAAAGAGTGACATCACCTTTGTGCAGATAAAGACTTCATAGCAGTTTTATATTTCCAGATTTTTTTTTATTCCATTGCCAGCTACACTAAGAACCCCAAGAGCACTAAAGGAAACATCTGCAACCTTCCCCTCAGCCTCAGCATCATCCTAAACCTACGGTCTCTGACACCCATTGCCCACCTACAATTCTATACACACTTTTATGTGCAGTCACTTAAACCGACAAAAGGGTTAATTTCTTCACACACACATATGGTGGTGATTTCTGTAGAACCACGTCATCGTTAAGAATTTCAAAGGGTCACATACACTGTCAATGGAGGAGCTGATTTTGATTCAGTCACCTTACCACACTCCTGGGGTGGATGTGTCATTCTGTGCTCTCCATGGTTTTGTTCCATAGATGGCTTCTCCATTGACTTTCAGCCAGGCACCCATCTGCCTCAGGCGCTCCTCAAATACAACAGCGATGCGACCATCATGAGTGGGCCCAATATTCATCAGGAGGTTACCTCCACAAGACACTGTTTCTACAAGTTGCTGAAATGTTTTTAAGCACATACACAGAGCATATGGCCATAGTTAATAAAATCATACATCTGAAGTACTTGCCAAAGTCTGCCATACTGCTTCAGAATGATGAACTGAATGAGTTATGTTACTATTGTGTGTTTAGACTTTTGGGGTCATCCCAACAGCCAATACAAAATTTAAGCTCCTATGAAACAAAGCTCTGCTGGCAATTTTTATGGCAGAAAACAGACCAAAATACATTTTTGCACCAGTATGTCCATCTGAATCTACATTAGAATCATTTCAACTTCTAGGGTTTTACCGATAGAAGGGACAGATGATTTCTCTACATGAGAGAAGAATAAAACTAATAGATGCCACTTCAGTTTTACTGAAGCTAAGCGGAGCAACTTCCTTTTTATTCCTCTGATGCTCTTCCTGTTTTACAGAGACATCTGTAAAACATGAGGAGGCCTTCTAAAGTCTGTAAGTAT